CTTTTGTTATCTATTGTTATTTTAATCCAGAAAATAAATTTGTTGTGAGATTAGGCTTAACTGGAAGGTGCCCCTTTAACCTGTGTTCTAAAGAAAATTTAAAATTTGAAAATTTAGATAAAATTAAAAATAAAAATCATATAGCTTATACTAAATTTTAGAACGTCCACACATTCACTTCTCATTGAGTTTGGTATACATACAGATATTTTAAAGGAAAACAGGTAATCTCCATTAATGCAATGCGGTAGGGGATGAGAAATATTACATTTTATATTGTAATAACTATCAAATCAAAGAACAAAGATCTAGATTCCTTGCAGCCCTGTACACATCTATGCCCCAAAGTTGGAGGATTTCAGCATGGATGAATTATTTCTTTCTACCGTATGTAAATGGATTATTTGGTGGAAAATATATAGTACCAGTATGCCCTATAATTTCTTGACAATTCGTGCCAATCAAAATTACGGTGACCATCATGATCTTATAACAACATACTATTTTTTCACCTAACGATATTTTCAGATATGATGAGATCTTTTCCCCATAGAAACCAATGTTAAATGGCTAAACAGATTATTCACAACTATGATAAGCAGTGATCATCGATACAAAGTTGTTTAATATTCTTAAGGGTTGGAAATATACTAGCCTGCGCACTATTATGCAGATTTGCACTTGCACAGTTAGTGTAGTCGTCAGATCGCAGAGATATGGAAGATGTATAAGACTTCAATACTTAAAATGATAGAATGTATAATCGAGCTGGTAAGCAATGTTAGGATTTTAAAATGACAAATTCTATTATAAAAATAAAATAAACTAGCCAACCAATAGGACGTTAAAACAAACTTGCATTTTTAAGTTTACCGAAATTTACGCTGTTTACACTGGTGACCCGCACATATTTTGGTGGCCTTAAAACCTTAAATGATCTTTCTATTTGAGGATAGTTATGTACTTCAATGTAGCTAAAGTTGGACACTTTATGAACATCTTTATATATGTCCTAACATTGTTAAAATTATGCGGCGTCAACATGGATTTCATATTCCATAACAAAATGGTATGAGATGCATGAGTGTAGCCATGTTGGTTTCAATGGATAAAAGCTTTTTGAAAAAAAAAATGGCTATTTTAAAAGTAAAATGTAAAAAATAACAAATCTGCCTACCAGCTTATTGTTAGACTGTATGTTAACAAACAGAATTTATAAATTAAACCCATGCATGATGGAAATAATTGAGAGATAATATACCGATCGTCTCAATCAATACAATGTGTGCTGCTGTCTACGTTCTAAAAGAAATTAACAAAAATTATTGCTAAGATCAATAAACTCTTAGTAAGATTAAGAAAAAGTATTTCTACATGAGAATTACACTACCTTATAAATGCTGAAACTATTTCTAGAATGTTTATATTGGTAAAAACATGCTGGAAAACAAGACAAGGTAAATAATGGCAGGCATGAAACTGACACTACCAATACACTAATTGTATAGCTATGCTTGGTGGAGTACCTTATGCTGTTCGTCCTGGAGGATAGGTTTCACAAATAAAACAATAGTCCTTGCCAGACCGTTGATAGAGGGACTGTAGTTCAGCTCTTAATTATGATCTACTGTAAAACACTTTATTTTAGCTGGAATTAATTTTCGCTGAAAAGACTTTTGGGTATTCTGTATAGAATTTATTTTCAGTGATTTTTGAAAAGTTGAATGTAAAATATAGGAAGAAAGGAATATTCGCTGGATTTTATTTTCACTGAATCATACCTTCAGCGAAAATATCGAAAATTAATTCCAAGCAAAAATAAAGTATTTTACAGTATAATATTTAAAACTGGTTTAGTCAGATAAACATGGAAATGAGACATCAAAACTACCAGGTAATACTGAGGAATGCATTGTTGTGAAAACAGCTTAAAAATTATGTTTTCCTTTTTAAGTTATTTCATTCTGTTTTATGTAAATTATATAGATTGTTCATAAATTTAATGATAAAGTCTGGTGCTGTGGGCAACTAATGTCTAGCATTTTTTTGGTTTTGTATGAGTAAAAGGCAAAAAATAAATATCCCATCAGTTGCCATCCTTTGCTAGAGGATTATCTACAATGAAATATTTAACAAAGACTCTACTTAAATTGACAGCAGTTGATTTTTATTTGTTACAACAGATTCTGTCCATTTATTGCTATATGAATCTGAGCATATGCTACAAGCATTTGAGGGGGATTACCCAAAATGCTCATTTTGTCTCATTTACAGTCTTAAAATCCCTCACTTACACTGTAAATTTCATGAAGGCATGAAATATTTATAAATGTTTGAAAACAACAACTTTAAATGTGCGAATGTATCGGTAAAAAATTATCACATAATTGTGAAAATTTAAATCGTTTCAGTCTATAAAATAAGCTACAAAGTAATAGATTTATATGTTTGTGTGAAACGTTTGCGATCTGTTTGTTGTGTTTTTTTTACATTTATATGATGGATAACGTTGACAAACTCATAGTGCCACGGCTCAAGCGCCTGTTACGTAAATTTGTTGTCTCAACATCAAATTATCGAAATAAGGCCGTATGTGATTTAAACCTTGAAGAAGATCCAAACATTCTAAATCAAGACTCGAAAGAAGACATCAACAAAGGATGTTAAGATTTTGGATGTGATTTTGAGAACTCGCTAAAACTCTTGGGATACTCTTGTGATTTTAGCAACTACCTGATGTGTCACAGGTCGGACTACAACAGAAAAAAAATCAGAGTTTTCAAGTCATTTGAAGACTTCAAACTGTGCGATGATGGCCGCGTATTAGATTTTACAATACACAGAGATTTCACAGACCATTTTAGCTAGGCGTATTCAAAGCACAGGTGAAGACCAATCTAAACAAGACAACATATGGCTTGTGTTTTTTAATAATAAATGCTTTTTATTGAATTTATTCTTGTATTCATCATTCACTCTCACCACTAACATATGAATATAAAGACTCATTTTAAAATACTGTCATACTTTTGTTAAAACACCATCCAGGCATGATTTTGTCACCTGTTAAAATAAAGGTATTGTTGCACAAAAACTGTATTTAATATCAATGTGCTTACATACACTGATATGTATGTCTATGGTCCAAATAGGTCATATTGGCATGACGCAGTATACATTAATTTTAATTAGCTCTGCTGTCGACTTTGTCAAGCGGGGCTTATCATATGAGTGATTGTCCTGTGTCGACCGTCGTCCATGTCAACTTTTTACTTTTTCTACTTCTTCTTAAAAACTACAAATCTGATTGCTTTGATACTTGGTGTATGTGTACCTTGGGTAGACCTCTCTTAGATTTGTTCATTTCATAATGATACCTTCATTTCTCTAATTTTGATGAATATTTCTGTCATTTTTGGTAAAAAATGATATATTCAACTTCTTGTTAAAAACCACAAGTCCGATTGCTTTGATATTATACATATAGGTATCTCAGGTGGACCTCTCAGATTTTGTTCATTTTATGATGGTATCTTCAAATCGCTGATTTATATGAATTATTTTTGGTAAAAAGTGATATTTTAGACTTCTTGTTAAAAACCACAAGTCCGATTGCTTCGATATTATACATAAAGGGAGACATTTCTCAGATATTGTTTATTTTGTGATGATATTTTCAATTCTTTATTTGAAGTGGAGCTATCTTAGCTGAGGGGCTGCTTGTTAACATATGCTTGAATGTTTTGTTTGTTTATTGACAGGAACTAATGAGTGCCTTGATGCAAGTCAAATTACATGTTTTTATCCAGTGCTTTACCTTGATGTTTGTGCCATGTGTGGTATGGCTTCTTGTACAGATGTTAACGCTAACACCAATCGATCCATGGCTTTTAAAAGGGTAGGAATTCATTATTTGATTATCAGTTTCTGTAATACGATGTTATCAATCTATTATCGGGCTTTTCTTTTTGAAAAATGCCTGAGAGTTAGAAATGGCATTTCTGAACACAATTACGTATGTAATTTATTAATCTCTCAATTCACATGACCTCAATTCTTGTAAGATCTTCACCACATAATTGAAAACATGTTGAAAAAGCGACATGCAATTTTAGCGAATTGGGGTAAAATGATGTAATAGCAAAATGTCGGTTTAGCGAATCTCTTGTCATTGTTGATTTTCTGTTTTCACAATACTTGTCTGTCGCGTGCCAAACAAGTCAAGTGAAATTACGACGTGCCCCAGATTTTTTTGTTCCGAATTACTGTATACAAATCCCCAAGCCTTGGCCATTTTGAATTTGTATGTTTATGTCATTAGTGACATCTTGAATTAGCGAATCAGTTCTCTCGCTAAATTTGCTAAAAAGACATGCTGACGAAAAAGACATGTTTTACAGTATCACAGTAGTTGCATACCCTTGTCTTATAAGCCCTTGTTTTCCCACATAAATCTTGTAATAAACTCATTACCGATATATACTGTTGTGTTACAGATTGTTGGTTGTTAGTTGTATGCCTCCTCCAGTGTCTTCAGCTGTCATCCTTACAAAAGCTGTTGGTGGTAATGAGGTCAGTCAATTATTATATTTGTTGAAGAATACATAGCTGAATATTTATTGTTCAAACCTACATGTAGTTGCTAACATTCTGTGATGTTTAATATTTCTTGCATGTTTATTAAC